ATAAAACAAAAACGTTTTTATATGTTGACACTAATAATATTTGTAAAAAATAAAAAACAATTGTCTTTGAAGAAATTCACTTTGATAACGTCTACTTTACTTCACGACTTGCTCACGAATAATACACTAAATGTTCATAAGTGCCATCCTAAAAGTGCATATTTTATTCCTGAATAAGCAAAAAATAGAAAGAGATCGGAGATAACTGGAGAGTAATAAATAAATTAGTCATAACAAAACTCACAAAAGTGCCAACGCTAATTAGATACGCAATAATGGATATAAATAGATAGAAACAGTTACCAGGTCAGAGATGCTTATAAATGTCACCCTAAAAGGCCATATTTTATAATCCCAAATAAACAAACTTTACAGCTTACAATACAGAATTACACGATGAATATCAATAAATTGAATATTTTCCTTGGTTTTTATTAAGTTATTTTTACTGCCCGGATATATTCGAATCTGAACATTTTAGCGACATAAGTTGCGACGCCGACCGTATATATACGGGTCTGCACATTTTGGCCGGTTTTGCACGCCCGTGTTAATACATTTCTGCGCGTTAAGGGGTTAAAATCATTAGGAGAAGAAATATAGTTCTATTGGATCTCTGTATCTTTTAATTGATGCACATAATTTTGATTTTGCACAAGACTCTGCAAACCAGTAATTACAAATCAAATTCAAATGAAAATCATTGATTTATCCTCGAGTACCAAACGAAATAAGACGCGAAATGAACTTCTACGCTCGACGAAAAAGTCCCATTTTAGAAGACTGTGCTCGAAAACCATGATTTTTTATCGGTTTTATTCGCTGGCTGAGCCGTTGGAAAAAATGCGCTACGAACGGGGTAACGGTACGCGTAACGCGTAAGGGGTCGCAGAAAATAAATTGAATCGCTTGCCAGCTTTAAAAGATAGTAAATTGTTTCGTCCGGTTCAATTGACACCCCTGGTGTACCTAGCCTGTCGCGAATGAATCGCCGAATACTTGCGCGGAGTCGTGGATTTCTGGTATCGTTACGGGCAACGTTGTCGTTACAACGTTCGCACCTGTACGTTGCACGCTTCCGGTACACAGGTGTACGTCCGGCTTTTAATGGGACCGTAGAGAAATTGTTAAAAACGTGGAAATAGAAGAGGTAGAGGCGGAGGCTTCGGTTGGAGTTAGTTGGAAGGATGCGGACAATTCGGTAACTATAGGGTGTGAAACCATGCGTACATGCATGGGAATTTCGGGAAGCAGCTAGTTCCTATGCACATCTAATTATCCCGAGGATCATGTTTATTCAAGGCTCCAACTTGAGCCACCTGTCCTCCATGAATTTATACAACTGGAAATTCGCGTGTCACATTGTAATATGTATCCGCAAGTAATATGTATCAGATTGAAAATATTTCGCGCCGTATGTGGACACAAGCATAACGTGTTTACGCAGGCTGTGTGCACTCAAAATTAATTCTCTTTTGTATATCATATTCGTCTTATTCCAAGTTAATCCCTTCGCGGATCCTGTTCACCTTTGTGGAAGATAAAATTGATCCTTTTGCAAATGTAATTCACGCGCTTGTAATTATTTATTTGTGATCGATTTGATATTAAATTTGAATTTTTTAAAAGAGATTTTTAAGTAAAATTGTTAAAGATTTTTGTGGATTATTAATTATTTTTCAAATCGAACGTAAAGCAGCCAATTTTGATCTGTGAAATTCATCCTTAGTTTTATTTGCAAAAAGGCGAATCTAGTTTGCGAAACGATGAAAACCATGCAAAATGGTTAAAACGATGAAAACCATGCAAAAGGGTTGTGTAATTAGTTTTGTCATTTATTGCATTTTGTTGAGTGAAAACGTATACTATGACATGCGTGCAATCAAATAGAATCAGAAGTTAAGTTAAAACTATCATTGAAAATTAGATTATTTGAACTTCTTTGGCACTAGTATATCATTCTACCTTACTGCTAGCAAAATTTCTACTTCAGCCCGAGGCTTTCGTTAATCTTTACGCTTCGGTTTTCTTTCCTGTTTGCTTAATCCCATTCCTTTTACCATCCCTCTTAACTTTCCTTTTCTGTTACACCATCTTCAGCTATTTCACTGCGTTCTGTGACCTCATTCCTACTATAGTACTACTCGTACCATCGGTATATATATATTTTTCTTTTCAGACGTTCATTAGACACGTATGAGATATTTGATTGGTGTTCCATCTAAATTTCGTCTACTTTACGCAATGTTTTCTATGCTTCTTCCTTTCACCCAATAATATTGCGTGCAGCAATTTGGTGACATTTTAAAGTATCATGTTTTTTTCTTCTAAATTACGCGTCTTTTAGTTCTCAAAATCGTTGCCGTCGCTTTGTTTTATCTTTCTAACAATTAACGATTAATTTTTCGACACGTGCCTCAATTGTTTGAATTGCGCATCTCTCTTGAATAAGAAGGAAGATGTTTGCGGCAGATGATAAACGCGTCCGATAAATAAATTGTACGAGGAATAAGTTATCGTGGAGTAAATTAAATGTAAATCATTTCTGTGATTTCGACATTGGTTTTGGATCTAAGCGAAGAAATGTCATACAATTTGGTGCTTGGCAGA